AAAAGAATTATAACAAAAAAAAAAAAAATCACATACCAATTAAATGCTAATCTCATCTCACAATCACCTCTTCATAAATATCATCTAAATTACTTATTATATCTTTTAAACTCATTTTTCTTTACAGTCATCATATCAAATCAAATCAGAGGAAAACTGTGTTTTAGTTTTTATATTATAAAAAAACTAATTAGCATTGTAACAAATTACATGAGTTATTTTTTGAAGACGCACAGACAGGCCCTTAAACCGAGAGGCAGTGAATGCATAAAGTGAGCAGGAGTCTGACATGGCAGACCGACTATATAACTCACATTACAAAATCATTATGTAGGAGAAAATTCCCTTTTTGCCCCCAAAAAAGGTCATGTATGTATTATAACATGTTTAATAGTAGCCCCCAAAAGGCTAATAAAAGCAGCTCTTTTAGATCTGATCATCCAATTAATAGTAATTTAAACATTGTTTTTTTTTGTTGGACTCCCTCCTATTTTTAATAAGTGTCGTTTTAAGAAGTTGTACATTTTTTTTTCCAATAATAACCCTCATAAATAAAGATATAGATCAATGTTTTGAGAAAATATGACGTAATGTATTTATTAGTTAGATGAGTATAATAATAGAAAAATATGTACAAAAGATCCAAAACATCATTTATCTAGTTAATTTATCAATTTAGTTAATTGTTGATAAAGTCCAAAAGACATTTAGAAAAAATAGAAAATAGGAGGTAGTAAGAGTTTATTTATATTTTGGTTATCCCATTCTGTTTAAACTTAAAAAATAATACTCCCTCTTATTCATAATAAGTGTCGTTTTAAGATGTTGCACAGTAATTAAGAATATTTTTTTGTCAATAATAATCCTCTTTAATGAAGATAGAGAATGATGTTTTGGGGAAAAATGAATAGTGAATATGAAAAGACTTAGTGTATTTATTAGCTAAATGAGGGTAATAATGAAATATATGTACAAAAGATCCAAAACAGACATTTATTTAGTAAATAGTTAATAAAGCCAAAATGACATCTATCATTGTATAAAAAGAATAACCTTTATACAAATTTAGAAACTTTTTCCTACCAAAATTATTAAATATATCTTACATATAGTAATTGTTGGACAAATCTGAATAGGCAAAAAAATCGGCTTATTAATTGTGTAAAGATTTGTTTCTCTTGTTTTTTAGTTTATTAAAACCGTTGTTTGACAATAAATATTTGTTTTTCTTTTTCCTATTTTTAGTATAAATCTACACGAGCTTATCTCTTCTGTTACAAACCCATTGCATACGTCTCACGTGTTTAAAAAATCTCATCCATTATCTATACAGATTTGAAAAAATAAAATAAAATAGAAACTAATTTATAATTACTACAAGAAATCCATTATCTTTAAAAAAAAATAGAAACCAATTCATAATTACTACTAGAAATCCATTATCTACTTTAAGAAGCTAATTTTCATCGGTCTAATTACTAATATTTTTACAAATATTATAAGTTAACCATACAAAAAGTATAATAATAATTTTGAGATGGTGTGTAATCAAATTTTTTCATATTCTCTTAAACAAAATAATTTTACATTGTTTCACTCCGAATCTTTAATTTATAATTTGTTTATCCTCTTTTTGAATTTATAATTATTTTTTTTCTTCTTCTTTTTAAATAGGAGCAATAGTAGTTTCCACTTCCGCACCATTGAGTGACTCAAATTTGAAGTCTATTTGTTAATTTAATATTGTTCCCGTGCATCGTACGGGTACACTAGTTTAAAAATAATAGGAGGTAACTATTACGAGTTTCTCCTTTTTTTCTATCTTCGCCAAATCTTGATAAATACATGACCATTATTGGTGAGTCACATCTATATAGCCCAAGGAGCTAGCTATTTCCTACTTTTTCACTTTATTTATTTTACTTTTGTGCACTACCGTAGTAACTTTTTTTGTCCCTCACAAAGTTAATTAATTAATTAAAAGCAGAGAATAATAAATAGAAGAGATATATAATTACCTCAAATTGCAAAAGCCAGTTGTTAGCCCCAGCTCCAAATCCTCTGTCCAGATGATATGCCGGCAAACTCCCATCCAAGCAATCTAACCAAAACTCAAAAAACCCATATATCAATTATCTATTAAAAAAAATATAAATTAATTAAATATAGTAAAATGAGCAGAGGTAAATGATTATTCACCGAAAATATAATTAAAATAAAAAATTGGCGTTGGTTAATGGCTTATTTACTGACATGCGCCGATAGACGAGGCGTTGCGGACGAGAGTCATTCTCACCAAGCGACGCTCCTCCGATTTAATGCGCACCGGTGCGCACGTTAGCAGCAACATTATCATCGGTATGCTTAGTGCGCCTTTCGTTATTCTTATTCCATTGGCCTTCATTTTTTCCTTTGATTTCTCTTTTTCTAATTACCTTCTTTTTTCTTGTATGTATATTGAGAGAGAGAGGGGAGATTTTGTATGAATTGGCAAAAAAATGTTACTGAACGAAATTATATAAGAAAAAAAAAAGAATTAGAAAGAATTAAATCCAATATAATTTATTGAAATCTAAATAGAGATTCTTTTACAAAAATGTGGAATACAGATATAAGTATGTTTGGAAGGGAAGAAAATCAGTTGAATATCTTCAGACGCAAGTTGAAAGATGGAATGAATAGATTGTCTTTATGGGTTAAATTACTTCAAATGTGAAAGATAGACATAAGTAAAGGGAAGAAAATATGGGAAATTAGAAGAGAGATCAGAATAAGGAGGGAAATAAAAAGACCAGAATGGGGTGGCCTTCGTAATAACAGGAGGTTTTGAGGTTGGTATGAAAAACTAAAATTTTAATTTTCAAATTTCATGCATATTATTTCTAAACTATTATTCAATGTATAAATGCAAATAAAAAATTTATATATTCGTTTTCGGGTAATTTTTATTGAACAATATAAATATAAATTTTTTAATTTACATATGAATCATTATATTGATTGTTGACATAAAATGTAATATATAATGTAATTTTTATAATTAACAGGGACCATAACCAATTAATAAATGTATTACAATTTTTTTAGTATTGTTATGAAAGTTGTTTACATGATTTTAAGGAGTTTGATTATAACTCTAAAATCAATTAACTAATATTACAAAAAAATGAAAACGCTTAATAAGATGAAAAAAATATTTATTGTAGAATAAATATCTTATAGAAAAAAATTTGCAATTGGATTTTTCATAAGTATTTAACTTCACATATGACTTAATTATTTATAATTAGTTAGTATTAGTAGTAATTATATATAATAAAATAGTTTAAAAATATCATTACACATAATTAATGTAAAATGTAATGGGTTTCTTCTACATTGATAAAAAACCAGTGCTCTTTTACTCGTGCACATGCACAGATACAGTTAATTTAGTTATATTAGGCATTACATAAAGTTTAAGTTTAATAATATAAATAAAAACTAAAATAAGGTATTTTTTATTATAAAAATTTTATTGTACACAACATTATATATATTTTGACCGGTCCTCTCTATATAAAAATATTTATATCTTTTTTATTAGTTATTTTTAAATTGTTAGTAGTGGTTATGTGTTGACACCCGAGTTTGTCCCAAAAAGTTAACCGGGCTTGATGCCACCGAGAATCGGGCCGGCAGTCCGGTTCGGATAGGAAGGTACCGAGCTGAGTCCCAAAAAGGAGGGGCGTTGGACTCGGGTTATTTCTTGTTTCGAGGACGGTACTCGCTGTCGATGCGCCGGTGCCGACCTCGAGTTGGTGACGATCTGAAGTATGGACCATAGAGACCTAAGAAGATAAGGAGCTCGGGAGCCAACCTGGGGTTCTAGAACGGTTAACCCGCGGGAGGTGGAGCTCGATAATAATAAGATATTACCACTTGTCAGACAATGATCACAGATGGGACGTGCCACCATATCCCTGACAGCCTATAATGCTTAGTTCGGCTAGGAGGCCTGACAGCATTAAATGCTGCCCATGCTAGCATTAAATCCTCTGCAAGTAATCATTGAAAGATCCACCAAACTCACAATCAGTCAGAAAAACGCCGGCCTATCTTTCGAACTCCCTGTACGACAAGACAACATGAATAGTGGAGGAACAGTGGCACCATAAAGATTACTACAAATAGGAGATACCCTCATTTATTTTGGGTTGTTGAATCTCAACTACCCACTCTCTTTCTATATTTTCTCTCTCTAGATTCCTGTAATAAATACCGGTAATAACTGTAATAAATACCCGTAATAATCCTGCAAGTGTAACAAAAGCGCCGACCTCGGATACAGTGGCCACTCGTACTTATTCCATATCTACCCAGTTAAACCATACTCATTTTTTATTTTCGTTTCTCCACCTTACGCAATTTAACTTTGACCGTTGGTCGAATCCGTTCATCAACAGTTTGACGCTAGAAGGAGGCACCATAAGTTATTTGGTGTCAACAATTCAATCTTGTGGAACTCCACTCACGATCTCTCTTTTTCACACCATCTCCCTCAAAATACATGAAATGACTTCCGCGGAACACGATGAGTCAACCCAACAGTCTGGACCTCAGTCCCGCCGTCGCAACGACGGGAAGACTTCACGCCGGCAACAGCAAGGTCATCAGCAGCTGGTTCCACCGGTCCCCACATTCGCCGCAGCAATGCAGCACCCCGACGTCCCCAAGGTCCTTGAAGGGGCCTTTGCCAAAGCTTTAGCGACCCACACCGCCGCCGCGAATACCGTGGTCGACACGCAAAACCCAACCAACGCTCTACTTCGCACCTCCAGCAAAGAAAATGAGAAGAAAGGGAAGGGGCCTGTTCGATCCAAGGCCACGGCGCAATCCCCGAACAAAGTCGTCCAAAACCGGCAGGAAAGGACTGTTAACCCGGCGCGTACCGAATAGACCGGCGAAAGTCGCCCCGAATAGAGCGTATGGGTCATTCGTCGATCCGTCTACCAACTCTTGGGGGAAAAAAGCCAAGCAAGTCCAAACCTCAGACAGGTCATAGAACATGGGAAAGCAGTCGGGCACGATACAGACAAGGTCGCGGCCCTCAAACGAAGGATTGCCGAGTTGGAAGCCCGGCCCGTCACGCAGGGGGGACCGTCACCTGACAACCCACGATCGAGCGTTCGGATCGTGGATCACGCCTCTCCCCTCTCCCTCGACATCCTTTGGGAGGTCATGCCTAAGAAGATCAAAGTCCCTCAGCTCGGACTCTACAGCGGGAGCTTGGATCCCGACTCCCACATAAGCGCCTACACCTCATGGATGAATCTTCATGGAGCGACAGACGCCCTGTGCTGCCGCATGTTTTCCCTAAGCCTGGGGCCTAAAGCACAAAGATGTGGTATCACTCCCTGTACCCCACTCTATTTCCTCATGGGAGCAACTCAGGTCGGCGTTCCGTTCGCACTTTATCGGATCGCAGATCAACCTGGCCCCCAAGGAATTGATCGCCAACATCGTCCAAGGAAAAGACGAGAGCCTGAAAGACTACATTGCCCGGTTTAACGACCGAGTTCAAAATATGGAGCAGTGCCATCCAGACGCGATACTGATCACCGCGCAAGCCAGACTGAAGCCCAAGACCCTATTCAGATGGTCCCTGTGCCAAAACAAGCCCAACACCTACCAAGAATTCCTAGCCTGGGCCCAAGACTATCATGGGAGAGGAGTCAATGTCCATTCCTACCTTCGATGCAACACCGGATAATGGCAAGCCCAAGGAGAAGAAATTGGCAAAACCAAGCAAACTGACAGACGAGGCTCGGGCTCAAAGAATGCAGAGAGCTGAGGAGCTTAGGGAAAGCTATTGGGGTGTCTTCTCAGTGGGGACAACTGCGGTCTACGAAGAATTCAAGGCCAAGGGGTTTCTCCCGGACCCAAAACTGATACACGCCGACCCGAATAAGGTCGACAAGTCCCGGTACTGCACCTACCACAAGGTGCACGGTCACAACACCGATCAATGCCGAAATCTGATCATGGCGCTGCTCCAACTGATTGACGACCCACAGATGAAGAAGTTCACTCGCTCCCACGACAAAAGGAAGAATGGGGCCGTTTTGAGGACGGCCTCTACAACGATGAAGATACCGACGTGCACCACCACCGGAAGAGGCCGCCACAGGGCGGAAACAACGAGATTCTGACCCTACGCCCGGATCATCCAGATGGGCCGGTAGCTCACGAGAAAGAAAGAGGGGATGACCCCCACCTCAGGGAGCCGACCAGGGGAGCTATCAATCTCGGCGTGTCAACACCAGCCGAAGTGACTCCCTCATCTCGAGAAGACAAACCAAGGCCTCTGCTCGGCAAGCCTATTATGCCGGGCAAAGGGTCCTGCACGCGGATAGCAGGCCGGCGGCCGAGCCTACGCCCAACAGAATATCTTTTGCCGACGAGGACGCATTTCTGTTCGACCACCCGCACTCCGACGCGCTGGTCATCACGGCACCCATTATGGCCATCAAGGTGCACCGCATCATGGTTGACACCGGGGCCTACACAAGCATACTTTTCTACAACACTTTCAAAAAGATAGGTGATGACATGAAGGAAGTGCAGCCCTACAAAGAGCGAATCCAGGGCTTTGACGGTCAGACCACACTCCATGTCGGACGAATCACTCTGCCCATCAGACTGGGACATGCCGGGTAGCCCACAAAGACGGTGCTTGAGAATTTTAAGATTGTGGACTGCCCAAGCGAATACAATGCCATTTTGGGCAGGACGGCACTCTATAAGCTAAGGGTTGCCGTCTCCATTTTTCATTATTCCATCAAATTCCCAACCCCCGATGGAGAAGGGCTCCACCGCGGAGATCAACGCGAGGAGAGGGAGTGCGTCCTCACTGCTCCGAGAACGGAAATCAACGATGCAAACTCCCAACCATACGCCAAGGAGGAAATCGGAACTGAGGATAGCCCAGGTCCTCTGAATACGAACTCCAAATTGAGACATCCCGGTCGGGGGGACGACCGCAGGTTGGGAAACCGGATAGGTCCGCTCTCCACGGCCACGGATAGTCCCGACCTGAGCCGAGACAGAGGTAGAAGGGTCGGAAAGGAGCCGGTTGTCGAAGAAGACGAGCTCGATCCCAGAACCCAGTACGAGGAGAAGAGAGGGACTAAGAGGGCCGAACCGATGGATGAAGTCGAGATCATTTTTCGTCGACGAGGAGACGTGCCAGAAGCAACTCCGAATCGGAAGCAAACTGTCGGGGCCCTTGAAAATCGAACTGACAGAATTTCTCCACAAAAACGCGGATGTCTTTGCGTGGACCCATGAAGACATGGTCGGCATCGACTTGCGGATCGCCTGCAATAGGTTGCAGGTCGACCCAAAGGTCAAACCGATCGTACAGAAGAGGAGGAAGTTAGGCCCAGATCGGCAGCAAGCTCTCGAGGAGGAAGTCATCAAGCTCAAGGACAATGAATACATCCGAGAAGTTCGGTACCCAACTTGGGTGGCCAACCCGGTACTTGTAAAGAAGTGCAACAGAGCATGGCGGTTATGCATTGACTTCTCCGATCTCAACAAGGCCTGCCCCAAGG